CAACACAACACAACACAACACAACACAACACAACACAACACAACACAACACAACACAACACAACACAACACAACACAACACAACACAACACAACACAACACAACACAACTCAACACAACACAAAACAACACAACACAACACAACACAACACAACACAACACAACACAACACAACACAACACAACACAACACAACACAACACAACACAACACAACACAACACAACACAACACAACACAACACACAGACACACACACACACACCAAAAAAACAAAAACACAAAAACACACACACACACAAAACACACAAAACAACACACACAAAACACAGACACACAGACACACAGACACACAGCCACACAGACACAGACAAACAGACACACAGACACACAGACACACAGACACACAGACACACAGACACACAGACACACAGACACACAGACACACAGACACACAGACACAGAGACACTGAGACACTGAGACACAGGGACACAGAGACACATAGACGCAGAGACGCAGAGACACAGAGACACAGAGACACAGGGACACAGAGACACAGAGACGCACAGACGCAGAGACGCAGAGACACAGACACACACACAGACACGCAAACACACAGACACACACACACACACACAAATGCACAAGACAAAAAGACAAACACGCACAGGCATCCTAGTTTCATCAAAATGCAATCCCCGCCCCATGCCGTTTGAAGGCCCTTGAAGCTGTCCACGCGTACCTCAGCTTCTTGTGATAGCATCGCACTCTCTCGAAACACGGGAGGGGGGGTTAATGTGAAGCCCACACCCGGCTTTTGAAGACCGAGCTCAGGCAACTCGCTGGAACCTTAGAGCGGGATGGCAGATCGAGTCGATCAGATGCAGCCTGACGCTGACTACTAGTGTCTGGGGCCATTAAGGACCCTGTTGACCTTCCCGTTGCTTCGCAGCCAGAATCACTAGGGTTTTGGGCAAAAACAAAGCTGGTGTGTCGTTCCTTGGAGAAGCAGGCAACACAACGGCTTCGATGTTGTCCTTTTGGATGCCTTTCCCTTTCATCACAACGAATATGCAAAAGTTGTTTTGTCTTTTGACCGAAAGGTGAGCAAGCATCGCCAGATTTAGCTGACCTGGGCGTTGTTTGTTCCCGGAGGGTTCCGAGCAGGTTCCCCTGGGCCGCAGAGGCTGGGCCTTGAGCTGGGCTTTTAGCCCTTAAACTCGGGGCAGTGATCCCTTCCCAGCAAATAGTGCGCCCCGACATTCTGATTGTAAAGCGCTCTCGTGCCTCTTTGACATCCTGTTGATCCATCTGTGTCTGCCAAAGAGGCAGCCAAGAGCCTGAACTTACTGGCAGGGAGTTCCGGGCCTGCCCCCCCCCTTCAAGCCAATTTGGCTCAGGTTGACAGTCCGTCTGAGTGGGGTTAAACGTTGAACCTTGCAATTCGGGGCAAGGTTGCCGGTGGTCGACTGGCACAATTTCTGGATGTCATTAAAAGGCAAGCCTCGATTAGGGCCTGAGCGCAGCACAGAGCTCATTTGCCTTTTCACATTTCCGCCAACAATTGACTTTTCTCAAAAGGCCCTATGTTTCAAAATACCTCCACTTTGGGAGGTTTTGAACAAGGGAGCCCTGTTTCGGGTAGCGCACCGCTCGGGAGCACAGCAGCCGACCAGACACCGAACCATTGGTGAATTGGAGCATGGTTCGGCTTGGATGTATTTGATTTGCTTTGATTGCTGGCTTGTTTGCTTGCTTGCTTGCTTTCTTGCTTGCTTGCTTGCTTGCTCGCTTGCTTGCTTCCTTGATTGCTTTGTTTGTTTGTTTGTTTGTTTGTTTGTTTGTTTGTTTGTTTGTTTGTTTATTTGTTTATTTATTTGCTCTACTTGTCCATGAGTTTGCTGATCTTCGCTTGCTTGCGCGTTGGGTTCTTTGCAGGCTGAGTCGATGCTGCCGGAGTTGTTTGCCGACCCGAAGCCGGACCTGAACCAGGCCCAGCGGTGTTTTTTAGCTTTCAGCTGCACATCTTAGAAAGTCATTCAGGTTGAGTCATCGGTCGTGGCTCAACTCTGAGGTACACCAAAAACAGGTGGCATCCCCTAATAAGTTGTATCCCCAAAATGTGGTATTACCAGCTCTAGGGCATTCCCATAATTAACAAAGCACAGGTGGTATCCCCAACAGCCCCCTACGCAGCCGAGTTTGCCGGCCAGAAAAATTATCGGGGCTTGACGCACATGATGCAGAAAGGCCCAAACAATGCAAATACCCACTTGCTTGAGGGTATGATGTCAATCAACCCTCACTATGATGCATTTACCATGAGTAGCGGGCAAGACTCCGCCTTTGCAACGTTCCAAAGTATGTGTACAGGAGGTCGCCTTTACACAGCATGAGCCTGTGCAAGATGCAATTCCTGTACATACCCGAAGATCGCATGTTTTTGGTTGGGAATAGAATAGTTTGACAAGAAATGCATGCAGCAGCTCGGAATCATCGGGCCAGCATTCTCACCTCGCGGGTCCGGCAGCTTCCTATAGTGTCCCATTCTTGCGTTGAGCATCCCCTAGCAAACAAGCTTGGATGCTTTCAGACTGTGAATGTGGGGAACCCTGTCACCAAGTGTTGGCCCAGAGACGGCTTTCTGATCGTGCTGGGTTGTTCTCCAGAAGGAGGAACCGTCAAAGTAAGTGTTTCCCCACTAGCTGCTTTGCAAGAACCAGTTCCACAGAAAATATGCCCACTCCATCCCCTTACTTTGCCTACCACTCAAAAACGTGGGGCATTTTGCTTGGCTGTTAGGACTTTAACTTTTTGCCAACTAATGGGTTTTCCACTAAACCACTAAAAGTTAAGCTTTTAGCAGGGGAGCAGAAAGCAACCGAAAAAAGGCTTGCGTCTTTTGAAGCACGTGCCTTGCCCACGGAGGTTTGGAAATCAAAGTCGCCGTAGAACCCAATTCACGAAGTGCGGGTGTCCAAATGATGTGGTTTCGGGATAGTTCAGGGATCTCTTTCTCGTAGCTGCCTCAAGGGAAAACAAAGCCAACATATTCCAACCTCAGATCTTGGCGTTGCACACCCTAATTACTCCAAATACATTGTTTCTAAAAGGGCATGTGGTGAAAAACCAAGTGTTTCTTGCCAGAGGTTGACATCATAGGCGAAACTCAGTGGTATTTCAAGAAGGGGATGAGTGGCCAGTTGGGGCAATCGTTTATTTACCCTTGTTGGTAGGCTGCTTCTCGCAAAGAACCAGGGCATCTGTACGCCTGTTTCAGATCTTGGACTTCTGAAGGTCAGGCAGATTTTGACTTCTTTGCAGATTTTGACTTCCTTTTCCGATCCCAGGTGCTGCTGTCCGCGCGCGCACGCGAGCGCACCTGGGTATGGGTTTGGCGTTCAAAGAGGGGTCCCATTTCCAGCTGTCCCGTGGCAGCCTCTAATACCCTGTTTGTGGCGATGGCAAAGGGGACATGCAACTTCCATTTGCCGAAGAATACTTTTAAATTTGTTTCCCCCTGTTCTGTTGGTTTTAAAAGGAATCTATGACTACTGTTTTTTCCAGGGGGCTTAAGCAAATGGAAGTTTTTGTGGCGATGGCAAAGGGGACATACAAGGACCCCTGTCCAAGGATGGAAACTGAAGCCAAGAATGATTTTTTGGTATGGACTCGCGATTGTTTGCGCCCACCAGCCCCCAAGATGCAGGTTGCCCCAAAGTGCAGCTTCTTCGAAGCAGATACCGCCCTCTGAATCCCTTCGCGCGCTGTAGGTTCGAAAGGTTCGAAACGAGCAAAACCAGGCGTGCCCCTTGTTTCCAGATGCCATTTGAGTTTTGGTTGCGAAATCGCCACATAAGATTAGCAGCAGTTCATCCAAAAGGGGCGGACATTTGCGAGTTGTAGAGGCCCCTTATTTAGCACCCATGAAGTCCTCATTGCTCCAACCTCCAAAAACTGATTGCAGGGTAGAACATTGGGATCTGAAGGTTGGATACCCCGAAAGGATCTTTTCAACCCGGTTGACATCACGGATCCGGATCACCTCAGGATATTACGCCAAAATCATCCACTCATGTAGTTGAATTCCAGGGTTCCGTTATTTTCTGAATTACCCCAATGTAGACTTAAATCCTTGGGGTTTCCTGCTCTGGCTGCGTTGAGTTTTATTTTTGCATAAGATTTGTTAGTCCCCCTATCTTGGCACATGCCTAGATGATGCCTTGGGTAGAGCTCCAAGGCACGCCCGGCTTCTGGCGCCGCCTGTGGCGATCCATTTCGAGAAGGCGAGATGAGACCGGGGAGGCGTCCTCGCGCGGCGGTTTTTCGTTTTTCCACCCGGAAAGATGGGCGTGTCGTTGTAAGAGAGTATCCTTTTGGGGGGAAAAGTGCATTTTGAGCGCGCTAAAAGAAGGTTTGTGTCATCAGCCATCAGCCATTTAGCGGGGGGGATGTGGTGGCGGTCAGCTAGTTTCGCCACGGGGATGTTTAGTGACGTTGGTTCCAGGTACGCTGACCGGCCGAGGCTTAAAAAATATGTCCCTCGGAGAAGCGTGCATGTTTAGAACTGTTTATCACTATCACACATGTACTGTGTTTCATCTAAAGTTACGCCATGGGTGGTGTGACCATGGACAGCGGGCACCTCTTGCAAATGTGGGGAATTTATTTGGGGAAGCCGACCTTTGCGCCTTTGGGCGTTTGCTTGCCCAAGTCGCCTTTTCTTGCTGCTCAGCAGGGACTGAGGGAATGAGCCTAACCCATCCAACTGGTGGTTTCCTTTAAGGGGACCCCTGGGTTCATTCCCACATTCCCTACCTATCGCACCAGCAAGTGTTCCTTCTGAGGGCCGTGCCAAGTTTTGCTTGAAGCAGAAACTGGCGGTCTAAGATCTAAGTGGGCTGATTGGTTCACTACACCTCCGCACATTTTCTGACATGGGGATCCTTAAATGGGTCCCACCAAAGGAGAATCATTTGTGATCCGGATGGTATCCAACGGGTCTAAATTTAGGTTTGTCTAATGGCGGCTTCCCAATTGCCTCCCTTGAAAACAAGCCCCTTTCGGGCACCAACAAAGCTCCATTCCCGTTTCATGGCAGGTCTTTTGTGTGACCAAATCGCCCCTTAGACTCCCTGGAAACCAATGGGTTTCTATTAAACCTAATGCTTCGACATTTAAGTGAAACCTTCAGACTTTGCTCGCGGGGGAGGTGTTGGGGAACCCCAGGTCTTAAGCCCCACGCACCGCTGTTGACTTGGCGCTTCCGAGGCGCAAGCCGGCACCCAGCTTCGCCAAGATCTGGTGAGGCGCCCGGGCGGAGAGAAAAGACACTTCCAAATGGGTGGGATGGGTGGGTCAGATGAGTGGAGTGGAGTGGGATGGAGTGTGGAGTGTGGAGAGTGGAGTGTGGAGTGTGGAGTGTGGAGTGCGGAGTGCGGAGTGTGGAGTGTGGAGTGCGGAGTGTGGAATGGAGAGTGGAGAGTGGAGAGTGGAGTGTGGAGAGTGGAGTGTGGAGTGTGGAGCGTGGAGAGTGGAGAGTGGATGGAGTGAGTGAGTGAGTGAGTGAGTGAGTGAGTGAGTGAGTGAGTGAGTGAGTGAGTGAGTGAGTGAGTGAGTGAGTGAGTGAGTGAGTGAGTGAGTGAGTGAGTGAGTGAGTGAGTGAGTGAGTGAGTGAGTGAGTGAGTGAGTGAGTGAGTGAGTGAGTGAGTGAGTGAGTGAGTGAGTGAGTGAGTGAGTGAGTGAAGAGAGAGTGAGTGAGTGAGTGAGTGAGTGAGTGAGTGAGTGAGTGAGTGAGTGAGTCAGTGAGTCAGTGAGTCAGTGAGTCAGTGAGTCAGTCAGTCAGTCAGTCAGTCAGTCAGTCAGTCAGTGAGTCAGTGAGTCAGTGAGTCAGTGAGTCAGTGAGTCAGTGAGTCAGTGAGTCAGTGAGTCAGTGAGTCAGTCAGTCAGTCAGTCAGTCAGTCAGTGAGTGAGCGAGGGCAAGAGTGAGTGAGTGCGTGAGTGAGGGGTGAGGTAAGGTGAGGTGAGGTGAGGTGAGGTGAGGTGAGGTGAGTGAGGTGAGTGAGGTGAGTGAGGTGAGTGAAGTGGGTGAGGTGAGGTGAGGTGAGATGAGGTGAGATGAGGCGAGGCGAGGTGAGGTGAGTGAGTGGAGTGAGTCAGTGAGTGAGTTTTGGAGCCTGCAAAAGTGGCGATGGTTTCAAGGAAAACCACCAGTCAATTGATCCAGTTTTGAAGATTTTTGAAGATGATTCCTGCAAATGTGCGTGTGTGTTTTCCTGCCTATATGTGTGCGTGTGTGTGTGTGTCTACTGTATTTTTGGTGCCCATTCTGGGGTTGCTCCTTTTGGAAGGGAACCACATCACAAGGCTCTGGAGCTTAATGGTTTTGAGTCTGTGGCTATGCTTGTGTGTGTGTGTGTTTGTGTTTGTGTGTGCGTCTGTGTGTCTCTGTGTGTGTCTGTGTGTCTCTGTGTGTCTCTGTGTGTCTCTGTGTGTCTCTGTGTGTCTCTGTGTGTCTCTGTGTCTCTCTGTGTCTCGTGTGTCTCTGTGTGTCTCTGTGTGTCTCTGTGTGTCTCTGTGTGTCTCTGTGTGTCTCTGTGTGTCTCTGTGTGTCTCTGTGTGTCTCTGTGTGTCTCTGTGTGTCTCTGTGTGTGTGTGTGTCTCTGTGTGTGTCTCTGTGTGTCTCTGTGTGTCTCTGTGTGTCTCTGTGTGTCTCTGTGTGTGTGTCTCTGTGTGTCTCTGTGTGTCTCTGTGTGTCTCTGTGTGTCTCTGTGTGTCTCTGTGTGTCTCTGTGTGTCTCTGTGTGTCTCTGTGTGTCTCTGTGTGTCTCTCTCTGTGTGTCTCTCTCTGTGTGTCTCTCTCTGTGTGTCTCTCTCTGTGTGTCTCTCTCTGTGTGTCTCTCTCTGTGTGTCTCTGTGTGTCTCTGTGTCTGTGTCTTTGTCTTTCTCTGTCTCTGTGTGTGTGTGTCTCTCTGTGTGCCTCTGTGTGTCTCTATGTGTCTCTGTGTGTCTCTGTGTGTCTCTCTGTGTGTCTCTGTGTGCCTCTGTGTGTCTCTGTGTGTCTCTGTGTGTCTCTGTGTGTCTCTGTGTGTCTCTGTGTGTCTCTCTGTGTGTCTGTGTGTGCTGTGTGTCTCTGTGTGTCTCTCTGTGTGTCTCTCTGTGTGTCTCTGTGTGTCTCTGTGTGTCTCTGTGTGTCTCTGTGTGTCTCTGTGTGTCTCTGTGTGTCTCTGTGTGTCTCTGTGTGTCTCTGTGTGTCTCTGTGTGTCTCTGTGTGTCGCTGTGTGTCTCTGTGTGTCTCTGTGTGTCTCTGTGTGTCTCTGTGTGTCTCTGTGTGTCTCTGTGTGTCTCTGTGTGTCTCTGTGTGTCTCTGTGTGTCTCTGTGTGTCTCTGTGTGTCTCTGTGTGTCTCTGTGTGTCTCTGTGTGTCTCTGTGTGTCTCTGTGTGTCTCTGTGTGTCTCTGTGTCTTTGTCTTTGTCTGTCTCTGTGTGTGTGTCTTTGTGTGTCTCTGTGTGTGTCTTTGTGTGTGTGTGTGTCTTTGTTTGTGTGTGCTTTTGTTCGTGTGTTTGTGCTTGTGCTTGTGTTGAAGCACGGTGCAAAACGAGTGGTAGCTGCAGGGTGCGCAATCCAAATGAGTGTGTCAGGCCGGGAGCAGGACTGGACATGGCGGATCTCCGTTTGTTGCCCCCAACCTGCAAAGCGCTTACCAGCACGCAGCCCACATAGCCTTTTGGGGGCTGGCTACTTCATTAAGAGCTGGTTTATCAAGGAAGCAAGCCTAAGTAAGCCATAATCACCGATGAACCATGGGCGATGGACTTTGAGCGAGCGAAGTGTTCTACAGGTGGATCCTCCATGATATTCCCGTGGTTCCTTTGACAACCGAAGATTTATTGTGGGTTGTTGGCGCCATTTCCCGATACATCGGGCAGCGTTGCAAGACTTGGGTTCGTCTGCCAAAACAAAAGCTGGACCTCCAGTAGGGGCCTTGGATAAGAGTTCTCTTTCAAACCGGGTACGGACAGTCAAGAGACCCCTCTTAACGAACGGTTTCCCATAATGAAGCCACACTGATCAGCCCGTAAAGTAGAGGTTCACAACAGGGGTTGAGAACCGGGAAAATAGGCAACGCGGCACCTGATCCCATGAGCGGCTAGGTGCGTGTCGCGAGCCTCAAGCTATGGTTAAAAGCGCGCTGGGGGGGGTGGGGGGTGATTCTGGGGGCCAGGCCTGTAGTGAGTCCCCTCAGTCCCAGACCCCCTAAGGTCTCGTTGGAACCTTGGAACCCTGGACCATTGCGATTGCGGAAACCCTTCTTTTTTTTCCCCAACAACAGCTGAAAACTTTGGGGTCTCAGCCCAGATAGGCTGGGGTGGTCCGGGCGGCCCTGAGGTAAGGTTCCACGAGGGTTCCACCAGGGTTCCATCAGGGTTTTACCAGGGTGCCACCAGGGTTCCACGAGGTTCTGCGAGGTTCTGCAGTTGGGGATATCACCTGAGCTTATTGGTCAGAGGAACCCCCACAAGTTGTTATCATTGTTCCTGACTAAAAGCGCCAAAAGGGAACCCAGGCCTTCCAAAATTTACTCGCGCATGCTCGTGCTGACGCCGAATACCTCATCTTCTTTGCCTATTTTGCAATTCTTCTTTTTCCTGGAGAGCGGGGTGGCATGTGTGGCACAACGCAGCTTGTTTTCCTGCGGGCGAGCTCGCTCAAGACGCAAGGACGCCATGTGGCTGAACGAGGTGGGCAGGTGGTCTACCAAGGCTGTTCAAAGGCAATCCTTCATCCTTTCCTTGGGCTGCGCAAGAGGTCCCCTTTTCTAGTGCTTGTGCAATGGGGATTATGGATTAGGATCTTTTCATTCAACCTGCTGTCGTCTTCACGGACCCCATGGATCCAAGTTCGGGTTGCCTTTTGGGTCCGGACCCGCAGGTGGATGCTTCCTATCTCCGGGGCGCCCTGGGGGTGGGATATGCAGCTCTCATCGGCGCAGCTCCTCTGAACGCGGCAGAGTTTTAGGGTTTAGGCTGTCTTGCAACTCGTTAGCGCGTGGGGACATCTGAGAAGTATCCCCCTTCACTAAAATTGAGCTTCTGGGCGTTGAGCGTTTCGGGACCAGTTGAGGTAACAGGTCTGGACTTGCTGAGGGCATGATTGACTTGCAACTGCAGGGAAGAAGGAGAGGCCCGAGGGTCCGTGGCAATCCCAATGACTGCTCCTGAAACAAGAGAAGGAATGAAGGACCGACGTTGTGGAACTTCGAGGTTTTTTCAACTTTCTGCGATTTCAAGGGAATAGCGTTACGATAAAGCAGCCGTGGTTGTTGGAAGGGAGCTGCGCCGAATAGCAAAGAGAGGGGCCGGCACAATTCACTTGGCGAGGTGCTAGCTTGTACTTGGGCAGCGTCCAAAACCCTCATTGGCCATGTTTGCAGGTTGTTCTGTTGTTCTACCATGCCTGGTTTAATGTGGATGTTAGCGGCCAATACAAAAGAGAGAGAAAGAGAGAGAGAGAGAGACAGAGAGAGAGAGAGAGAGTGCAAGACACTTGTCCCAGTATTTGTGTAGAACCAACAGTTCATGTGGTTTGGTCGCTGCTGACTTGTAGCCATAATGTAACGTGTCTCCCTTCTGGAAGAGTCCCCTCCTTCTTGACCCCCCCTTTTTAAGAATCAGCGGTCCTTTCCTTTGGACCGCTGCAATGAACGGGACGGAACCCGGAAATCTTTAGGGCCCAGAGTCTGAGGTAAATTATGCCTCGATCGCCGGCAAGCCCCTGGGCTGCAATGGTGCGGTTTCATGTTGCGGCGGCTTTGCAGGTTCTCGCCCAAAAGGACCTTTTGTTGAAGGCACCTGTTTTAGTTTTAGATGGGTTCAACTCCAGGAAAGCAAGCAAAACCACCATTGTTTGGGGGCCTTGTTTTCAGCCGCACCCTGAACGGTTACCAAAAGGGGATGAAACAACTTGGTGCTAACGTCGAAGCCCACCACTTCCTGAGAAGGACTTGATTCGGCCCCTGGTGTCGCAAGCAAGACATGGCACCTGTGTGGTTCCTGAGAAGTTTTACCACGCGCAGGATATGAAGCCAGACCTTATGATAGACTCTATCCAAAACAGGGATTAACAATGTGCTCGTTGTCCACCATCCCCAGCATTTAGCATCCATCTGCCAGTGCTTGACGGTTTACTGAGTTTCCACTGGTCAAACGTGCTCGCGTGCAAACTGACATTGGCCCAGAAAGGGCCGACCCCGTCCGCCCTCTGAATCCCTCCACCTTCGCACCCCTTGATTAATTAAGGTGGGTGCTTACGATCCTCTGGCCCCATTTGCTTAGCCCGCTTGGGGCATGTTGGTTTCTTCCTTTGAGTTTTTTCAAGAGGGGCGAAGGTGGGGCGGATTCAAGCCTCCAAACCACAAATCTAAACCACAAATTCCCCTGATGCTTGGCGAGTTTGAGCTGTAGTTGGACAGTTTGGTGGACATCATTTACTTGGCAGGAGTTATATCCAGCTGTTTTCGAGCAGGGTCCCGATTGAACGTTGTAAAGCACCCCCATCTCCCCTTGACCCCTTTTGGTTTCTCAAGAATATCCAAGAGGCCTTTTCATTGCCCCTTTTCAGGATCGAGCCCCATCCAATTCCTCCTGATTCGTTTTGGGATGACAAGTGTGTGCCAAATTCTGAACTGGGAACTTGGAACTTGGAACCTCTAACTGTTTTTGTTTTTTGGGGCAGGACTCCGGAAAAAGGTGGTGTCCCTTTTGGTTTTAGATTAAAACCGCCAAAGAAGGGGGAATACCTCAAAACAAAGGATATATCCATTCGCCCGAGTGAACGGCTCGATTTTGGGGTGTCCGTTCCTTTCCGAGGTTGGGCGCAACCAACGGACAGATCTCTGAGAAGTACACCACCCAACTGACGCCTGCAGGCTTCACCTTCAGCATCGTGGCTGATTTTCCTCCACTTCCCTATTCAGGATCCTCCAAAAGTGGCAAAATATTTGGACACCAGGAACAAAATTATCAACTGTTGGAAGGGAAAATCCAGAGACCCCTGATTCAAGTATGGTACAGCTAACATTTTGAGCCTGATGTATTTGTGCAGGCCATTTTTTGGATGTGGGCTTGTACGTGGGACCTTGGACTCTGAGACAGGCCCAGATTGACGCGGGGGGTGGGGCCGGGTTGGGACAAAAGTGCTCCTCAGTGGCTTTGTTGATGCGTTTTGTATTGGTTGTAATTCCTTGTAGTTCCCTTCTCCGGTCTGAAGATCACTCTTGCCTAGCTCCCTGAGCTCCTGGACTTTAATCCTTTTGGGAAGACGATTTTAGTGGCAAACAGCAAGTTTGGACTTTTTTGGCCCATCCACTCAGGAAGTCAGTTGAGCAGTTTTTGCGGAGTTTCCTTTTGGGGCGATGTCCATGTAAGGTGGCAACTTGCCAGCTCAATCCCCCAAGATTCGCAAGCCTTGAGGACAAATTGCTAAAACAGATGGTGCAGCTGTATTGCAGCATTCGTAGGGCTTCACCCATCCCAAGTGGGTCATGGTTTTGTCATCCTCAAAAAGCATTTGCCACGTTCGGCTATCCGGGGTCAACAGGGAACGTGAAGGAGTGGCTGAAAATGAACCCTGGAAAGACTGCGAGAGTTGACTTCAAAAGGAACGCATGTCCACGGTGTTGGGCGCGGATTGCGACCTCACTGTGGCAAAATGGATTTGTATGGGCCTCGCCCGGATGGAAGAGCCTCAAAGGAGATCCGCCCCCGGCAAGGAGCAGACCGCTAACCATGGGGATCTCCCGGGTGGTGGGATTGCTGGTGTTTGGGTCCAGTTGCTCAGCGGCACCGTCTTCGTTTCTTTTAGGGCTGGGGGTCTGTATGACTTACTTTGCAACCACCTCTTTCAGGGTCTTGAGATTTTGGGGCTACCTGCAAATGGCAGCGTCATAATGTCGTGCCTGTTTTCTTTGGATTCTGCAAACCAACAAAGGGCCTGCCTTGTTGGGGATTAGGGGCATTGGGGGTCCCCCTGCGGGCCTCAAATCATTGCGGCTGACTGCGAGGCATATGGGGCCCCATTTTCCTGCTGCAGGGGGTTGGCACTTGCGGCTTTCTCACAGGGAAGTGGTCCGACGAGTTGGTGCCTTGGCGTGGCTTTAGGATTTGGGGGTGTTCGAGGCACAGGGCGTCGGGGGTGGAGGGGGCAACGGAAAAGAGGCCCAAAGCCGACCTTTTCACTTGTTGGCTTTCAGTTGGTCTCGATTTCCAGGTGAGTTACGTCTCAGGTTTCCTGCTTACGGCGCAAGCGCTTGACTCTTCCAGTTGCTGGACTTGCTTGTCTTGCTTTTGGAGCAGTTTGCCGGGGCTGCTAAACATAGTGAGTTGTTGATTCGGCCTTGGCCGAACAATCGAGCATTTAGCGTTTCATTTGGCAAATGTTTCCTTCCAGGCTCACAAGATTGATCGGTTACTTTTTCCAACTAACCCGATATCTGGGTGCCAGCTACTTCATCATTTGAGGGAGTTTGTTTGATACATGAAATGGGTTCCAAAGCCCCGTCTTCCGCAATGCCTTTTGGCAGTAAGTTCCAGCCCAACCACACGCCAACATGTTCAGAGGGGAGAGACATGGGGGGACTCACTCAGTTTCCCCACGCAATTCGGGGATTGTCATGTGTCCTCTTGGGAAAAAGTCCACTTGCCGATAACCCATTGTATCTTTTAACACCTGTTGGTTTTAGAGTTGGACATATTGTTCACATTTGTTTTTAAAGCTGTTTTTAGAAGGGAACCTATCACCAATTTACATTTATGTATTTTTTCCAGGGGACTGAAGCACTAGTGGACATGTGTTCGTTTGTTTCAGGGCACTTCAGCAATTAGGTTTGCAACTGAGGGCACGCATGTGCAACTCAACTTCGAAAGTCTCCTTGCAATGAACATTGCCCAGATTCTAGCCTAGGTCCTTAGCAGTGCCCTTTCTCACCCTTTTTGGGGGAGGGTTCCCCTAGAAAAGGGTACCCTTATTCTAGGAGCTGAGGATTAAGCATTTGGAGGAAGAACCTGTCTACTGGAGGACCTAGTAGCTGAGAATTCAGCAAATGGAGGAAGGGAGAATTAGCATCATCGACCGCGACACCGCTCCCTGCAAAGGTGAGGACGGTGTTCCCCTGCTGGTTCGCCGCCTGGGCATGTCAGAACGGCTCCCTGGCGCCGGGGCCCGTTAACGGGTTCCAGCTATTTGGGGGCGTGTCGGACCCCCCCCAAAGAAACACAACAAAACAACACGATATGGTGGTTTACCCCTCCCCCCCACCAAAAAAGCAAAAGCAAAGCACGATGTGGTTGTTTTCCTTTTGGTTTCCCTTGAAATTTAAAAACCAACAGCAAAAGGTACCATCAAAAAAGGACACCCGTTTGGGCGTGTTTCAAAATATCCCCCCGCAAAAAAAACACAACAAACAAACAAACAAACAAACAAACAAACAATCAAAAAAGGCGGTTTTCTTTCTGCGTTCCTTCCTGAGCCCCCACACAAATTTTAAGGGTACCCTGAAGTTTTCACGTGCTTGCGTTTTTGTTGAGGCTTGGTGCCCGTTTCAGGTTGGCTTCCCCTGCTGGTTGTCAAAGCTGCCACTGCCGGAAGTGGTTTTCCCTGCAAGCTCAAGCAAATGAATTAATAGCCGCCAGAACTGTGCATTCCCTCAGGAAGTCAAAGGGGCTGGAACATTTGCAATTTCTCCAGGCTTGCAGCCTCCGTAGTTGGCATATGTCACTTTTGTTTAAAAGGGGAGATGCAATCCAAGCAACCGATTAAGGGTTGCCGAATGTGTTTCCAAAAGAAGGGACACACATGTGCAAACACGATATAGGCATATACTATCTATAGAAACAAGCACACGCGGATTAGTGGCTATCCCTTCTTTTAAAAGCACCTTCAATAACCCTTCATCGGTGGCTTGGGTTGGTGGTTTGGGGATTTCGAGCCCTGGTTCTAGAGGGGTGAATGGGACACCAAAGCTGCGGCGACAGTTGGCCCTTCCAACGAGGCTGGCAGGCCCTCTTCGTCGGCTTGCCCTTGGAGAACGCGAAGCCAAGGAGCAAGGTCTTCTGGACACAGGCCCGGCTTTCCCACATGAGACGCGTATCGTGCTGCTTTGTGTTTGGCCGATATGGCCATAAAAGATGTATGTGAATTTCTTCCATGCTATGTTGGTTTCAGTTGGCGTTGTGTTGGTTTAGCTTAAGCCATGGCCACAGGAACCACTTTCCGCCTTCTGTTTTCCAAGATTTTTGTGAGATTCCCTTGAGCAAGTGGGCGTTTTTGAGTTGTTATGATTTGATTGCTTTTGCCGTTGGAAGCTTTGGGCCTGGATGGGTTCGGAGGCTTGCTTTTGGGGATGAGACCTGTGGGTGGATGGGGTGGGCTGGGCTGGGCTGGGCTGGGCTGGGCTGGGCTGGGCTGGGCTGGGCTGGGCTGGGCTGGGGTGGGGTGGGGTGGGGTGGGGTGGGGTGGGGTGGGGCCCAGAAGCAAGAAAGAAGATATAAGAAGCCTGGCCATGGCTCATTTAGCAATAAATGATACTGCCATAGGTGTCCTTTTTAGGTTAGTTTGGTTAAAAATAGATGGCACTGGTTTGGATGGGGTTTATTCCATTTTCCAGGGCCATCTATTTTTCCAAAAGGCCACCTATGGATACTGCAGCTGGCATGGAACCTTGCGCTCGAAGCTGGAATTGGGGCAGGGTGATGACCCAGGCTCAATTTGTCGGTGGTTTTAGCGGGGTCGTTCCAAGGAAGGGCCCCCCTACAGCGAGTTCCTCATTTGGCTCATTTGATCTTAAGGCTTATGAACACGTCTCTCCCCCAGAACGGGAGAGATCGGAAGTTATTACACTTTTTGAGGAGTTGGAGTTTGAGAATGAGTCAAAGCACCAGTACCAGCAGTTTCTGACCGCTGGATCCTCATTGTCTTTCATGTGTGTGTGGCCTTGCGTGGAAGGTCTGGGTTTTGCCTGAACTTATTTTGTATCAGCACAAGATATGGGTCAGAAGCTCTACTGCTATTGGATCTTTAGACTCTAACTTTTTGGATTCCCCTCATATTTCCTTTTAACCGTAAAAAGTTCAACTTTTTGCTGGGATCTACAGCACCCAAGGAACTTACTACATACTATTTGGGGTTGGCAAAAGCTGCGGTAGGTATGTGTATGGCGGGGATTGGCCTTTGTTTGCTTTGCAGCTCTGCCATGAGCAGCAATCCTTGTGATTCTACCACCTGATAAATGGTCCCCCGGCAGGAATGACAGGGTTGCATCCCATGAAAGCCCTAGTTTTTGCATGACCCAGCACCATCCGAAGCAAGGCTTCATTTGGAAACACCAAATTCGGGGGTCTCCTCCGAAACTAGTACCCAATAGATATTTGTAGGGTATAGACTAAATATGAGGCATAATTTGCAAACGTATAGGTGTGGGCTAAGATGTCGGTCAACACAAAGGCCTTGGAAGACGCTTACCATACTGCCCAAGCTCTGAATCTGCCGGATCGCTGGGTTTGCCTTTTTGGGCGGTACTCATCCTGATTCTTGGTTTGCGTCCAGGGCAGCCAGGGTCAAAATTTGAGGGCCAGGAAGTGATCAAACCCCATGTCTCAAATTGAGAAACACCTGGCCAGGTTGCCTCTATGGTGGGTTGCCCTTGTTTACATAAACTCACTTGCCCCAAGCCGGCCTTTTGTCCTTTCAGCCTTCCCATGTTGGGACCTTTGACTGCCAGCCCCTCAAGTGAACCCAAGTTGGAAATCCAAGGCTATGGATTTCCTTCGAAATGATACGGGAAAATCACCCATGTGGGTTTGCCTTTTGCAAGAGTGGAGATCTTCGCAGGTTACCAGCCCCTCCACCATGAATTGGGTTGAGCCTCCGAGTCAAGTGGAATTTGGACCCAGGGGTCCCAACCCCCCGCGTATGGCTCGAGCAAGTGGAAGCTCATGTCTTTTTGGCTTTGTGCCGCCTGGCGTGTCAAGAAAAGCCACAGATTTTGATGTGCAATCAGGGATTCTGATTTCCGGTTTTGGTCAGAGCTCCATGTCCTTTCGAGCCGCTCGCCTCTGTTGAGATTGGGGGGCCCGATTGGGACCATTTGAGAATTGCTTTTGTTTGTTTCGTGCGTCAGTCACACAGCGCTGCCTCAATGGTTAGTCGTCTAATGGATCGATTGCACCGGAAGGGGTCAGAAAAAAATTGAGACGCCGAGGTAGATCCAATCCCTATGCGGGTTTGTCTTAAAAATGGAAGTCGAACAAATGGGTGGCTTCCCGTTCAAACCAACCTGACAACGGTACCCCACGCACGCACGCACCCACCCACCCACCCACCCACCCACGCACGCACGCACGCACCCACGCACCCACGCACGCACGCACGCACGCACGCACGCACCCACGCACGCACGCACGCACGCACGCACACACACACACACACACTCACATCTGGTTTTGGGATGAAGGTCTTTGCAGATGTTCAGTTCCTTGTTGCCCTCTGCTCCACTTCCAGCTCCTTCCGCGCTCTTCGGCTCCAGGTCCGTTGCGGCTTCCTGCTGCTCGCGGCTTACATCAGCGGCTTGACTGCGAAATGTTCGTCTCATGCGAACCGTGGCTCCCAGCCATCCCCTTAGCTTTTTAGCCATTTGGTGTTTAGTGGGGATGTCCATACTAAAAGTCGAACTTAGAGCGGGGGATCTGAGGACAGCCCAGATTCAAACGCTTCGCGCAAGCGAAAGGGCTTCTATGAAAGGACTGGGGATCAATACAAACCCAGGCGTATCTCAGAATGGTTCCCATCTTTTTGATTTGAAGGGCGCGAGTGGTCGGTGATCAAGGCTAATTATCCCTTTCAACATGGGCGTGTCTCCAAATAGGGAAATCCCACCCAAAGAAAAAGGTTTTGGGCGTCGAACCCGTTGGTGGGCATCATGTACTTGGTACTTGCTTGCGGGTTTGTGCCCAGCAATCAGGTTTGAGGGTTCCCAAACAGCAAACCTAGATTGGTGGCCTCCCACTGATGGGGGGCAGGAGTCCCAAACAGAGGTCCATGTGTGTGTGTGTGTATCTTTATGTGGGTGGCAAACAAAAACCTCCCTTGAGCCAGTGTTGATTGAGTTCCCCATTGATGTTTCTAGGGGACACCCAAACAAGTTTCTATCAGGACTTTTTGGGGGGACCCCCATTGCCCAATTCAGTCCCTGAGTTGCTGGACTTTAGTCACTGTTGTTGGACCATTTTAGTGGCAACCGAAAAGTTTGGACTTTCTTTGGCCCAACTCAGGAAGTCAGTTGAGCAGTCTTTGAGGAGTTTCCTTATGGGGCGATGCCCATGTGCCAACTTGCCAGCTCAATCCCCCAAGAATTCCCCAAGACACGTGGGTTCCTTCCGTTCTTTTTTTTGGGGAGACCTCGCAGTTGTGTTCGGATAGCCGAGGCATGACGGTCACGGGGCATCGGCTGCAACAACTGGACTCAGCTGGCATGGGCCGTACCGCCCTGGTGGACTTCCCTTCTGGCCGCTCGACTCAAGTGGCCTCTCGCTGCGTTGGTTTATGGGGTTTAGAGTGCCACCCCCTGGGCATGGGAGTTTGTGACATATGGCTGTAGGCTCAAAATTAAACAGGGGGGGTTAGGCAGGTTTTGGTCCATGTGTCCACTTACCAGGCTTCCATTTTGGGCACCGGTTTTTTGAGCCACAGCCATATATAGTGTCTTGACTGCTTTTGGCTTGGATCTTTAGACTTTAACTTTTTGGTGGAAATCAAGGGGTTTTTGACTAAACCCCCAAAAAGTTGAACTTTTTGCAGGGGGGGTCAACAGCAACCAAGGTGTTATTCCCGGAAATGTTGCGTTATTTCCCGAGTCAATGAGGTTTGTCAAACTCGCCCAGTTTCCTATCTATCAGTTTCCCTTTTGTCGAGAAGGTTTGAAAATGATACCGGGGGACTCCCACCCCTCCCTCGCTTCCCCAATCAGATCAACCGCCGTCAGTCCCAATGACCAGGCCCTCTGCAGGCATGGCTGAATTGGGGCCGCAAGTTGCCCTGCCTCTGACCTGGAATCACCAATTCGTAAATCACTTCAGAGGGTTTGTGCATTTACAAGCAAGCTCGTGGGTACGCACGGTGTGCCTTGAATTGGTGGACTGATGTCTGGCCTCTTGCACAGGTTTTTAATCTCAGGGTATTAGTGTTTGTCTCAGTTTTGTGGGGCGTCCCGAAAGCGCGGGTTGGTCTCTGGATTGTGTTAGTTCTCAAATGGCCAGTGACGGCGTCCAAAGCCGTGAACGGAAGGGCGGCCATTCCGGGAAAGGAGCGGGTTGTTGGCTCGGCACACATTCGTGCGCGTGACAGTATGCAACTACCAATTCCCATGACATGGTATCCAGCCAGGCTGCCAGATTGAGGATCCAACACCCCCCTCCCTTCCCCTGTAGGATGAAAGCCATCTCTTTCTTCCTGCTCCCCTTCCATCCAAGAATCTGTTCGAGATGGAATATGAAGATAAAGAGACGACCATCACCACCACATCCTACCTCCATCCCGAATGTTAATTTCTACCAAAGCAAGTAACACTCTCCCCGAGTTTCCGCGCTCGGTACTTAACCACGATGTGGTTCAAACAGGGCCAGGGATTTGGGCCAATCCCCGGAAGTTGCGCAAGAGCCTTGGACCTGAGGCTTGAACGCTGGCTGGTTGAGCGCTGCTAGCGGCATTGGCTTGTCCTTGGTCCTGGAGTATTGGCCCTCAGGTGCTGCTGGGGGGGGGGGGGGGAATCCAGTGGACGCCTGGGCAGGGTGGGAAGCTCCAAGTCTCAACCTGATTGCAGGCCTAAGCATCAAAGGTATATGAGATAAACAACAGCAGGATGACTTCCGGAGTTCCTGAACCTTAGTTACTTTTGGAAGTGGTGAATCTGGCCAATCCGCTCGGAAAGTGAGCAGGTGTGAGGTTACCAAGTCAGGGTGCCCGAAGTAGATCCGCTCGCTTTGTCACTGTGATGCCTCTCAGGAACTGTGATTCGAAGGAGTACGGCTCCGCTGCGCTCAGTATCACAGAAGTCGTTGCAGGCAATTTCCACAACTGGAACTTGCCTTTTACCCTCCGCATGCCTCCGCACATTCCAGACAGGATCCTTTAAACTTTATCTCCCAGCCCCACTTCGTAGGCGCTTTCTGGCAGATAAAAACTGCAATTGCATTTTTGCTTCAAACTGGAAACCATAGAAAAGACCAACATGCAGCATGGACTCAAGGCAGGGTTCGATGTTTCCGGGAGCGGACGCAACGGCTTCGGCTCAGGGAGCCTGGTGTCGGTGCCGCGGTCCGCGGCTTTACTGTCGCTGGTTTGCTGCCTGGGCGCCGGCGCCACTATGGCGTGGGGATCCTTTGGCAGCGATATTCCAAAGCTTCCATAGGTTGACCCCATATGAAGCAACCCCAGGTAATGAATATGGGGGTGCCCAAATTCAGTGGGGATTCATCGCTTGTGGATGGGGAACGCTCCACTAGTAATAAACTGGGATTGATTGATATTTTTTGAGGGTACTCTTTTTGAGGTTGGTGCATGGCAGAGGGGGACCAAAAGGAAAACCATCATCTTGGAGGTCCCCTTCATTTTGACACAAGTTCAAGTATGTTTCACATTTTCCTTGTTACTTTACATGGAGTCGATCACTACGGGAAATATCTTCGTTTCCTGCTCTAGGGGCTTAGGCAAATGGAGTTGCGATGCAACAGAACCCTTACACCCAGTTCCTAGATTTTGATATTTCTGTGCAAATGTCACGGGCGATTCATAGGCCCCGGTTGTTTTCCTCTACCCAAAGCCAAAGGGCAGAGCGCTGAGGCGGCTCCAATGCGCCGGGCTTCGGGGTGGGCTACTCCGCCGCCGCGACCGGGCTGGATCGCATCGCGGCTTTGGGTTTCGAGATGTTTCGTGGGTTGCGGGCGAAATGAGGCCCACGAAGCGCCAGCCCAGATTTGAGGTGAGAGAGAACCTGAAGAGTACAGTGGGCCAAGTACTGCCGGGCAGTGTAAAATTCCAATGCCGAGGTCTCAAAGGAGTCACAAAGACAACCCTTCACGGTCGGAAACAACCGAGACGTTTGGTGACAAACTGTTTGGATGTGTTATATGGTCCTTTGGGAGGGGCGAGAAACACACGAAAAAACAACTTGGGGATGCAAGCCACTGTAAAATAGAATCTGTGCTGCCCTCGGTCCGACTGGGGAGTTGCAGGGGCCCACCAGTATTCTGTTGAGACGCAATTGCAAGGAAGGCAGCAATCACTTCTACTGTTCGATCGCAGAATCTATGTCCTTCCTGTTTAGAGAGGTTTGCACATTCCCCCTTTTACATATCCGGTGCAGCTTGAAAGGTGCCTAGTTGTGTACACCCCTCCTTTATACAGGGGATTGGCATTGGGGAGCAGTGGGGCAGTGTGAGCAAGGGGTGCGATTGGTGAAAGTGGATGGCAAAACTCCTCTTTTTGAGTTAGTCATAGTGCGTCATCCCCTTTGCTATTCGCTATCTACATTTACTCTGGTGTATGCATTTTGCCCAACAGCGAACACTGGTGGAGGAATATGTTGCAACCCGGATTTCTATGGTGAATACCTCTTCGTTTTGTGAAACAAAATGACCGCGTAGCCTAAACATCCGGATTTTTTTAGATTCCCCACACCTCCCCTTTTCGGCCATTTTCAAGGGAGAGTCCTTTCGGTGGGATGATCCTTGAAGAGGAGACATGATTTTGTCTCAGGACCAGGAAACCTTAAGCAGGTGGTTTCCTTCTGGCTTCCAGGCCAACTCCAAAAATGAACCGTGCAGAAAAGCTGGATGGGTCTGACTTACTTCGGATGTGGACATACACAACTCAACATGGTTGTGCTTTCGTTTTTTAACAGAGGAGCCCCAACAAAGAGGTGGTTTCCTTTTGGTTTCCCTTTAAACCAACTCCAAAACAAAAATGCCCTCACAAATGACACGCCCACATATAGGGAGACCTTACTCCTTTGGAGTGTCCCGACAGGTGATGTGGGCCTGCTACGGGCTCACCAAGAAGGACACGGCCCCTCCTGGGGTGAAGAAGGCCGAATTTGGGGCAGGGAGTGGTGCGAAAACAAATGTGCTCCAGCACCCTCCAAGGGTTGTCAATTGGTACCCGAAATGGCTCACACAAGGACACTTTGTGTGTTTCTGTTTGAAGGGTGTCTAAATAAATATATATATATATATATGTATATATATATATGGGTATACTCCCTTGTCGCGCCCCGCACCACTGCATGGGGGTTCCCTATTCTAAGACACACGGACGCATACAGAGACACATAGCTACCCCATATGTTTAAGCCACCCTGTTTCCCTTCCCAGGAGCCAGGGGCTGGTTGTTTAGACAATTGTGTGCGGGCTTAAGGGCAACATACGTTTGCTCCGAGCCTCTCCTGAAATCAAAGTGCTTCTCAAAGCAGTTGACCCCACAAAATGGGTTATTTCTTTTTTGAGGGTTTCCCTTCAACCACGCTCAAACAAGGGGTCCACCATGTTGAGAGCCCTTTTTGTTTAGTCGTAACGGGGCCGTTTTCGTCTTAAAGGGACCTTCTGGGGGATCCTACGTTTGTGAGACGGTAGGCATATGTCAGCCTTGCATTTCAGTGATGGGCTCAAATGACAGGCAAAAGAGTGTAAAAGGTCTGATGACGAAGTGAGGCCTGATGTCCCATTCATATGCTTCTTGGAGTTACCACTTCCTCGATCAACATCGGTCTCTGGGAGGCATGTCCCGTGTCTCTTGGTTCCTCGTTCCATGTGCTTGAGTGCTGCGAGGGTGGACTGTTGGGACAAGGGAAGAGGCTCCGTTCACTCGGTCTTTCGCTCGCTCAACATATCCAATGTGATAGACTGGGCCAGGAATGAATATCTGTCCTATGACCCAAACCGTTCTGATCAGCAATCAAGACACTTTAAATCTGATGAATGACCATGATTCCCTTCCCTCACTCCTACCTCCATCCCTCGCCTGCATGTGTTCCCCTTCCTTGAAAGACTTCCCTAGTCAGGCCTTTTTGGGGGGCGGGGGAGGTAGGAATGGGAAAATACTATCACCCGTCCACTCCTCCCTTTTTCTTCTATCACTTGGAAGTGGGCGGACGTCTTCATCATCTCTCTCCACTCCCCCACTCGTCTACATGACATGCTTGAGAGATGAAAGAGTGGGAGAGTGAGAGCGGGAGAGTCGAGCAAAGGAATATATGCCAGAGGCTTAGAGAAAAGCGAGTCCATTCTGGACGTACAAAGACATCTCTTCACACACCACCTAAATCCCACAAATCTTGACAGTGAGACAAGTGAATGGAGCGGAGATACTTTGCACCCTGCCTACCGACAATAGCATGGGTGATAAGACGGTGTGGAATGGCTGTTAGCTTCTCCATTTCCCCGTCTCTTGCCTCTTCTCCCCCAGCCGGTTAGTATGGAGAATAGATAAACTGGAGAAGACAGTGGATGAGATATGCCTTTAAGACTTGGCTGCACAACGCGTACAACGTGCGCTTGCTAGGCTTCAGTGTGTTCTGTTCAGAATTTTGCCGGATTCGTTCTGAGTCGAGCGATATTATTGGAAGGGCTTTCCTCAAGCGAGTCGCAAGCATGATGTGCCCGGCACGTGTCCCACTAGCCGACACCCGAAGGAACCCGCAGGCAGCGGCACTTTCGCGAGGTTGTTTTCATAAAAGCATGAAATCTTAGATAACAGACTTCTTCAGATTGTTGCTTTTCCTTTTTTTTTATATCTTCTTATTGTTATTTGTCTATGTCTTGTTTATAATAAATTCATATGTCTGTTCTTTGATCTCTTTCTTTATCTTTTTATTTACCTTTCTTGTTTGGTTGCTTTCATGTTGGGATTCATCTGTTAAACCGTTTAACATCTAGAATTATAAAGATGGCATTCGTTGAAATCTCCGAAATCTCTTCCTTGTAAGCCGTTCCTTTTCCAAATTATTAAACTGTAGAATCCTTGATGAAGAGAAAGATAATTAAACTGTAAAATGCTTGTCCACTGGATTCTTCCTTAGGTCACATTCTTCTATTTCCTGTTTCTCTTCTCTTTAGTATTTACATTTGGTTTCTTTTACATAATTTTGATGAAGATAGGAATGACATGAAGGAAACCAAATATTAATCCAAACAAGATAAAACTATTCGCGAGGTTGTTTTCCTGCCAAGCTTTTTTTCTGGGCATCATTTTTGCAGTTTTGATGGAAACCCCGGATTAATCAGCCCCAGTGTCGGGCTTTTGGGTTGGGAAATCACTTAGCACTCCAACCCCAGGCTTAGATCAAAGGTGGCTGCACTTCAAAGCTCTCTATTCTGATTGGGGAAGAAGCTGAAGTTCGTTGTGAGGTTCCTTGCAAACAAATCGAAAGGTCAACTGGAGGTCAAGAAGGTTTGGGGCTTGAAAGGGTCAGAGCTTTTCTCAGAGCCCGTTTTGGACTTAAAGCCGCGCCCTTGCTCAAAACGAAACTCAGAAGACGCCAGCGGCAAGTGGCAGACCCCCAATGGCCCAACGTGACACAACACCAAAAGCTGATAATTTAGCGTCTTAATCCTTCACTTGAGTGACGCAGTGAGTCCCTCTAGGCATTGTACATTATTGGCAAACCCTTGATTTTGAATGCAAGTAAAGCAATCACCATTTGTTCAGCTACCGCTAAAACGGAACAAGTCTCGTTATTGCCCCTCCATTCCTGGACCCCTGAACCGCTGCGGCCTCCCTGACCCGCCGGCCTTCCCATTTGACGCACCTCGAGACTGGGAGAATTGGCTTTCTTTAAGCATGGCTTTCTACATGTGGATGGACGAAATCCATTTCGCACCACTTTGAGACAATGGTTGAAGCCACTGTTTGTTGGTACTGAAGGGGGTCAGAAACCAGGGTTTCCTAGGTGGTGTAGGATTTCGTCCACCCACACGGCAAGAGGGGCGCCCCAGATTTTGCCACTGCCTCGTCGTCGCTAGGCCGCCCGCGGCGGCATGGCTCTGTCCCTCCTGGCCGGCGCCGCCAGCCTCCTGCGCTGAGAAGCGCCTCGAAGCTCGGCTGGGAGGCTTGCTAGGTCCCCCAGCTAGGTGCCCTTTCTCACCCCGTTTTTTGGTTGGGAGGGTTCCCCTACTAAAATAGATTGCAGAAAAAGTTGGTACCCTTATTCTAACCTCTCTACTGGAGGACCTAGTTTGAAGAACTAAAGATTCGGCTTCCCAACAAACTTTTCCCTGTCGAGAAAGGCCACCATTTTGAGAACTCCCAAATTTTGGTCTTGAGGCTGGTAACTCTCTAAGCCTTTGCCGTGGTAGAACCCCCCAGGTTTGAAAGGAAGAGCCTTGTATTCTTGACAGAGGCTTGGTTGTGCGTAGGCCATTGAAATTCCGGGTTTTGAGTATGTGTCATTCTGATTGAATTGTTTGATGGCATATGCAGCCGTGTGATTCTTGCTTTTGGACACATCCTGCCGAAGGATATGTTTCTGTTCTGGGTCATTTTCAGTGTGGCCTTTCCAGAACAGCGGTCATACCCCAGGGCCGAATGCCGCCAAAGCATGGGATCCCTGCCCCCCCCAGCAAGCCCTAGGTGAAGAAGTTGGATTGGTTTGGATTGCTTGGTGGTTCTCGGCCATGCCCCTATGTGTTTAGCTTTTTGGGGTTTTGTGGTAGTTTCAACTAAGCCCACTAAAAGTTAAGCTTTTAGAATGGAGCCCAGATTGGTTTGAGGGGTACCCCTGGTTCTCCGGGCAAATGGAGAAGCTGGCAGGCTTGCCAAATCTCAAGGGTAGATATGGGTAGATTAGTTGTGCTTCCTGAGCCCGCCCGTCAGTCACGTTTGGGGAACAAAGTTATTATGGACGGAAGTTCCTCCCTTTTGGAGTCAGACGGCCAGCGGTGCATTTTCCGTCCCAAGGCCAGCGGTGCAAAGAGCGTCCGGAAGCCGTGGCTGGTCCCAAAGGCCGATGAATGGCAACCTCAAAGGCCGATTGTATGCGCCATTACGCGCCCATATGGGATGTGTTTAAAGCAAGAGGCCTCAAATATTGTCCTTACCCTCAAAAGCCACACTCGTTGTAGCCCAGGGCCATTTTAGGCTGCATTTGATCGCTGACAAAAGCAAAATCAAGAGGTCCATTTAGCCTTTGGCCACTGGCGCACGGGATTGCGTGCTGAAGGGCATGCAACCGATTTTAAGACCTTCCCCGCGGGCTGCACAGTTACCCAGACCCGTGCATCCTCGTCTTCCTCGTTTCTCGGGGGTTCCCGAAAGAATCCAAGAAAAGGGCGCCGAAGCGATTCTCGCCGAGGGAAATCCACTGGTTTGGGTTTCATGGCCGAGGGGTTCCGAGGGCAGAAGTACAGATTCCGCACAGGGCGACAGCCACCGGCCGAAAACGAGGAATGCGCGTGCGGAGGTGTTGGGCTTTGAGTTGCTAGGGTTCGTGTCGGCCCTGGGGTTGGGATGAAGTGGGCTTAGGGTTGAGGTTTTGTTCCACCCGCCCTGTGTTCATATCCCGCTACGCCCCTTGCAAGTGTCCCCTGAATTGAATTGTTTTCCAACTTGCACGTGCATCTTCTCCTAGTTGTTCCTTAGTCGTCCGCTTCTTATTTTGTCGCGTCTTCTTTGATCCGCTTGCACTCATTGAGGACACGGTTTCTACAATGTGTTGTTACTGTTCATCCTCCCCAGTGGGCACAAGAACCAATGGCAAAGCCAAAGAACGTTTGTTGGGGGAGACTGTTCAATCTTCACACGCCGGTCCAAAGCAAAGGTATGTGCAGGGCCTGGCTGATTCGCAGGTTCTCTCAGCAAGCGGCAATAGCATGCAGCTGTAGAGCATAGTTTCCTGAAGTCGGAGAATACACACCGACACTGACACCTAGAAATCAGCCATCGTTGGCTTTTCTTTTGGCTGTCATGGCACTCCCCTAGTCCCAGAATCGACCCTGATAGGCCCTGAGAGCTTTGCGCTCGCTTGTTGGGGACGTTTGGGGGCCTTTGGCAATCATAGGACTTGTGGCATTTCCTGAGCGGCCTTTGACCTAAGAGAAAGCTAGGCTGCAATGGCTCCTTGCCACTGCTTGAATCAGAATATGCCAGAAGATGAGAATTGGTTTGTATTGAGGCAGCCTTTTTAAGAGTTTAGGGTAGAAGCAGGGTTGCTAGCCTTCAAAATAGGTCAAACTTATTGTTTCCAACTCTTGGGCCCCCTTTTTCGCCCTCTTCGAACCACTGAGAAAGGAATATAGGCCGTGGTTTTTGGGCCACGGGCTATTCGGCTGCGAGTGATCAATGTCATCCTCGGGCCTGTTTTGGTCACCGATTGTGGGGTTCGGAAACCCTGCTCCATTCTTACCCCCCGCTTTTCTGGACGAAATGCTTTTATACAGCGACCCGAACCCCCCAGCCTCCGCGTGAGACTTGGTCCGTGCCGGGCCGGGGGGTGTGCCACGGGTCCGGCGGAAGCTAGGCGACTTCCTCCTGCGGCTCACCGAGAACGCTGCGCTGCGCGCCGGTTACAGATGGGGCAGACGGGATTTGGGATGGGGGGGGGCGGGGGTTAAAGGCCAAGGTGGGTTGCGGCTTTTTTGGATTGGAGGGCGGCCCCCTTTAAATTCAACTAAACATGCCTGGAGATCCGGGACGGATGCTCACAACCACCTCCCAGAGAGCGAGAACAAGCTTACTGAACAACAGTTGGGCGTACAAAGGCAATGGGCCCCGAAGCAAATCGACCTTCTGACCTTTCTGGGTTCCCTCACTAAAACTGAAGGACCTCAGCAGGTTGACTGGAGCAAGTGAGGGTATTCTCGCGAGTTGCAGAGACCCACCAAAAATGAACGGCAACTTCTTTTGGAGATTGGCCTTCTTGTGATGAGCATCTTCTGTGAGAGGGTCGGGGGGGTTGTTGGCACGCCTTATGGGCTTCCCCCAACCTTTAAAAGTTTGCTCCGGCTGGCTCCTTTGGCCACAGTGGGTGTCTTTTGAGGGAACCTCTTGTTGGGAGCGTGCAAGGGGAAACCGGAGGGCCACCATTTGACTCCCTATTTAGAGACATTTAGAGACATATGTTGAGTCAAGGTCTGAAAAGGGAAAGCAAAGCTTCGAACTTCAGTAGGTCGAACAGGTAGAAGGGGTTCCCTTGATTTCCTGTTCCAGGGGCCGAATTTCTGCGCTTTTGACTGGGCCGAGTGGGAGAAACCCTGACACCTCTTGCGCAGCTTTGTCCCGTCGGAGCAGCCTGACGCGCATGAACTCCTTTGGCAAGCTGGGATTTGAACTTGTTGGTGCAAGGTCACGTTTTAGCGGGACTGGTCAAAGGTCGGGCATTTGTTTTTTTTTTTTTTGTGTCGCCCCACATGTTTGACGCAAAGGTGCCGTACTCATTTTTACCCAGAAGCATCTTCCCAATTCATGTGATTGACTTACCACCCATTGTGTCCGTGCCCGCTCATTCCACGCAAAGAATGAGTGGAGCAGGAGTAGGCTTTACCTGAAATCTCCATTGATGTGCGTAGGGGGCAAAAGGCACATCCTGATCAGAAACACACTGCGAATGGCCGCGTTCCGACCTGATGTCCGAAAAGAACGCGGTTGTCCTAAGATAAGGCGGATTCCCTTTGGATCTTGTACAGTGCTGACAGCCAATTAGAAGAATCATGCGCGTAGCATCCGAAGCTTCGAAACCCTCAGTTTGGATTCAAGGCCAGCCCCCCTTTTCTGGGAGAGACACCAATACACCAATGGTCAAGAAAGGGGTGTCCTCCAAAACTAGAGCATACGAATTACGAATGGATCAGAATCTGAAGATCTATTTATGATGGATCCCTGGCTCTCTGGAACCCTGGCTCTCTCAAAATGCACCCTAAGAACAGACTGGCTTTTGGAGGAGGGAGTTGGTGAGTTTGTGTTTTGTTGTACCCAGATTTGGTCCTGGTCAAAAGGTTTTGCCGTAGGTCTGTGGGCAAAGACAGCCAGCTGGGATGTTGGCCGGGCAGCTCAGGGATTCGGAGCACCCAGCAAGTGAGGTGGGAGGGTGGGGGGCGTTTTTCGGTCGCCTGGAAAGGGAACTGAAAAAGGAGGTCGTTTAGACAAGGGGTGGTTTGACATGTTATGAGGGATTGGCGCCGGGCCCCTACCGGCTCAGTTTGCTTTTTGGCTGGCAACGGACACGCATCCGAAAGGAATCCCTTTCTGAGAAGCCACAAATGGCATAGCGACCTCCCTGGGCGTCTTCAAAGTAGTGGATGGACGAGCTCCGTTCGCACCGCCCCTGGAATGATGAAATCCCTGGAAATTACCATCAAACCGTGGTTTCTCCCACGGTTTCAAACTGGTGCGAAATGGATTTTCTCCATCCACAGTATGGCTATGAATTTCAATCGGGAACAACCTCAGTGGACATGACTCCGTCGGCCCCTATTCAAATTCATTCCCATCACCAGAGTTTGGCACATTTGAGAGGGACCCTTGGGCACGGGCCAAACTTCCAAAAGGGTCCTGAGAGATTCTCGAATGCCTAAGAAATGGAGATATCTGGGCTGTTCAATCCCTCAATCCTCTCATGGATCCCTTGTTTGGTGGTTTTCTCGGGGTTATGGATTAGGATTTGCCAAATTTGCCAAAACTCATTTCGCACAGCTCTGGCTGTCAGGAGCCGGGGTGGCTCCTGTGGCCTCACAATCAGGCCGACCCCTTGCAACCATCCCGGAGCTGAGGTGACCAAACCATAGAAATTCGGTGAGGTTTGCTTTGGTTTGCCTTTTTCAGGGTTGGCATTTTTCATGGATTTTTGAGCAATCCTGTCTGCGGCAATGTTCTGAAGGAGGTGAACGATTTACCGATTGAAGCCTTAGGAAATCAGTGGAACCATATATTTTTTTCGTTCCCCCAACTGTGCTCTGCAGGGAGTCGGTCAAGGCAAACCCGTTCTGTTGGAGGCCTCTGCTTTGGCAGCGGCTTTCAGAGATCGCTCAAGCCCCAGACGGGGTGGGTGCTGGCAGATGGTTTGTGAGCACGGCGGTATGTTTCTGTCCCTTTTCGGTGGTTTTGAACGGCACCATGTTGGCCCCTTGAAGGTGAGTTTCCCTTGGTAGGGGTGATGTTTTCAGGAATGTGAGGGACAGGATTCTGGAGCGTAGCTCCAGCAAACGGAACTTTGCAATGGCCAGGTTGGCCAATGCAGTGGTGTCAATTGTGACCCCACTTCTAAACCAGCAACTTTCCCCCTTTTTGCAGGGCAATGTAGGGCGGTCTGAGCCCAATTGAGGCAGAAAGACAGCTGGTCTTGCGGACATCGGCGGGTCCTTGCCTTTGAGTGGCTCGTGGCTGGCCTGGGCATGCCTGACTGGCCTCCAGACTCTGCCGGAGGAAATCACGGAGGAACGGCTGAGCGACGTGTTCTTCGAGGAGTTCTCCGCAGTCGATGGTGCTACAACCCACCTGCCAAGAGAGCGAGCCGACACTTGCTTCCAGGTATCGTTTTTAGAGGTTTGGAGTTTGGAGGCTTAAGGAGTACACATTGCGTTGCGAGCATATATGGGTGGGATATACGCATCCATACCTCCAGAAGCCATCTCTGGGGTTGGCCAATCCCTTGGAAGGCAGCACCTTTCCCTTTGCGGAAGTTGTGGATGAATGCGTTTGTTATCTCGTCAGTTTGGCGTTATTCCTGAGTATGGCTTAGGACCACTTGCTGAGATTCAGGCGTCAAATTTGTTATAGCACGGTTTCATCAGGATCTCCACATGAGCTTTCCAGTATTTGGGTACGCACGCCTCTACCAGCGAGATTTTGGCGTGGGTCAGCATTTGTTTAAACCAGAAAGATCCCAAAGAAGGTTGCTTAAGCAATTCTAGGGGTTGATTCCCCATTCTTTTCAACCATTGGTCTTGTCAAAGAGCAGCCGTTTTCCCTGGGTTTGTCTGGTTGTCTAGAAAGAAGGATCGGGAAGGTACCCCTAAAGCAATAGGTGTTGAAACAAGTTTCAACAGTTGATTGGGCCCACGCTACATTCACCACCCTTTGAATTGAAGATGCGAGTTCTTGTTTCCCAATGCTGCGTAGGACATGGGTGGGTTTTGCGTTGAAACTCTCTGCGAGTTGCGAAGGCTCCCCCCCGCCCCTTGAAGTCATGTGAACTCTACTGTTCAACGAACATTCTGGAACTTCAGTATCGCTTGTGTATTGCATGTGTCCACCATGCCTAAGTGGGAGATTGTTGAAACAGGGGGGTTGGATTTGAACCCTGGATTTTTTTGAAACCAAGTCTAGGTGGCTATGTTTTTTCTGCTGGAGGCACGAATCGTTAGGTGAACATAAGATAAGCCTAAGATGCCAAGAGCCCAACCAAGTCTTTTCTAACAGGGCGACTGGTTGCAACTGGGTGTTAGTGGCCTTGGGGCTACTTTGGTTAGCCAACTGGGCAACCCCAAAAGGATACCCCCAAACAGGAGCAACTCCAAAGTATCAGACGGATATCAACCCCAAACTTATTTCACACATGATCAACCCGCAAAAAAGATATCCTTCCAGGTTTCCCAGTAGTGCCTTTTTACCAACTTTTTTGGAGAGGGTTCCCCTATTGGATTACTATTGAAATAGACTACGTACAGAAAAAGTTGGTACCCTTATTCTAACCTCTCTACTGGAGGACCTAGCCTTTGTCTGACGCGGCCACTGGTTTCTACTGGGGTCAGTCCAAGCAGACTTCAACGTGGTCATCCCTCCCAGGAAAAAAGGACGTGTTCCCTCCCCGCCAAAGGCACGAAAAGAAGAGAAGAAAAGAAGGAAATGAATACAGAGCAAAGCAAGCCAACAAGCAAGCATACCAAAAATACAAGCACACAAACAAGATCAAACACACAAACAAACACAGAGCAAACCACATTTTTTAAACCTGGGCCGGCACATCGTTCGGCCATTTGTGAGCTGAGGTTCGGAACCACGGGAGCCGCTGGGACTCGCAGACCCTGGAGGTGCGGATGCGGAAGATGTCCGGTGGAGGGGTCGCTCCCCGATTTTTCCCCACGGGTTTGAAGCTTCACCGTTCTTGGCAAGATGTGTTTTTTGTTTTGGGGGGGGGGGGGTTCTGTTCATGTTAAAGGGGGGGGGGGCAAAAAGCAGTGTTGTTTTTTCCCCGGCAACCATGCCAAGGGTTGTGGAGCTTGATGACTCGGAATCCCTCCAATTGGCAGCTGGGATTGGTTGGACTATTTGAACCCTTGGTTCTTGTAGGAGGCAAATGGGAGGCCACACGACGAAACTTACACCTCGTCCCTCCAAACGGTAAACCACCAGGGAAGAGGTGGCGGGTCAACTCTTATGCAACCCCTTCCAATTCATTCGGAAACCCCAAGGAGGTTCAGAGGATGGGTTTGGCATGCTCCTATATACGACTTTTCCTGGCCAATCGAAGAAGTGAGTGTCTGGCAATTCCGGGGTCTGACATGCTTTATGTTTGAGGATGGGCAACATACGGGCCAGAATGCGCACAAATTAGAAGTTGTTTTAGGTCTACCCCAGAGTGCTCCTGAGTGCGCGCGTGTGTGTCAGAGAGTAGCCCCCCCTTTAAGCCAACCTGAAAAGGCTACCCTGAACAACCCGCACACTGCGTGCGCACGCAAGGTGCGGGAAGAGACGTTTGAGGAGACGGAGGCGTCGCACGGAATGGTGCGAGGGAAGTCCACGGAAGGAATCCTGTTGGCCCGTAGGGATGCGCAAGGCTCCACGAATTCTCTAATTCTGTAGAATGACCCTTTCAACTCAAGGTGGAACCTTTTAGCGGTTTCAGCCCACATTCTGCCAATCTTTTGACGTGAACGTGGCTGATGTGCATGGAGAAGCTCAAAGATCCTGCTGGCCGGGCCTTCTTTGCTAACTTTGCTTGGCAGGCCGCGCCAAAAACAAGCCCCCCGCCTGCTGATTGAAAGGCAGCAACCTTAAGATGGCCAAGGCCAGAGACCTTGGCAGTTGTGGTTGCCCCACATTCAAGTGTTGCGAGCAAGAGGCCAGGAACACGTGTCTGAAGTACAATTTTTCATGGTTGGTTTTCTCGGATCAAGCTCACCTGGGGCAGAACGAGTTCACTTCTGATGAAGCGTCCCCCTACTTGGGGATTCCTCCTTCCAGCTTGTGAATATTAATTTGAACAGGAATGTGGCTTTGACTTTGAAGAGTACGGAACACCCTCTACACTGTGATTGAACGACATAAATCCTCGTCTGAATGATGCCTTCAACTGAAATGCAAACCTACCCTCCTGTCCTCCAACATGGAACCTACCAGAGGGCCCCCTGTGAAGGAACATCATCCTCAAGGACCCCACAGTCAGGTTCCAAACAAGTGGACAGGAGGAGTCTCATCCTGGCCGCTCCGAGGTGTTGGGACTGCTCCTGGGCCAGCTGAAGCCCCTGCTGCCGGGGCCCTTACTCCCGCGGAAAGCTGCACATCCAGGCATGATTTGTGAAAAGAGCAACTGAACTTGGCCGTTTGGATTGGGTGCTTGCAGAAAAATTAAATCAGCCCTGCCGATGCGGCTCGGTATCCAACACGGGTAGGTGTGCACCGGGCACCCCCACAAGTCCTGCCAAGCACGCTATGCCGAAATGCTATGTCTCAGCTTGGGTCTGCAGGGGGTTTGGGTCACAGAACCACAAAAAGAGCTACTAAAACAGCGCAAATTGATCGATTTCGACGAGAGAAATCTTCAAGGCGAACTTGGGGCGCCGCTTTTTGTTTTTCCGGGCTGGGAAGTGGCGGACCCGGGCCTTCACCGGGCCTTCACCGGGCTCAGGAGTCGAAACTGGGACTCCGGCTTCGAGGCCAGCGGGATTCGTCGTGAGGTGGATGCACCCAAAGAAATGGCCAGCCAGGGCACGAGGAAGTGTTTTGTTGCCTTGTCCCCTCCCAAAAACGAAGCATAGAGCCTGCACAGGGGTATCCTAGAAGACAACTTTGCATGTGAAGGGACTGTGTGAAGGGACCCCTGTGCAGCTTCTCATGGCTTCTTTCTTCTTCTTTTTTTCTGAGAGTGCCGGGCCCCCCACTTTTGAACAAGCGTGTTGGAAACAAGCTGACTGGGTGAAGCGGTCCATGGCCTGGGCCCCCGATGAATCCGGTGATCTTCGGTCTCCGGTTCCTTTCCTTGCCTGGTCAAAAAAAGTCAATGGACAGCAGGCGGGGGAGCGTGTCAAGCCTTCATTCTTTCAACATGTTTCCGGCTAGCTGTATTTGGGAAAGGCAACCCTTAGGGCTATGAAGGGAGTTCGAATTGGCAGAAGTAAAGGCAATAGCTCTTGCAATAGCTTTTGCAATTTAAACACGTGTTCTTGTTCATTCTTGGACTTTGGGGAGGCACATGGCCGCCATGGCCGTCCTTGATCCGGGGAAAACCCCGGTCCAACCAAGCTTGACAGGTCTTGTCACGGGCTCCTTGAACTGGCCGTGCTGAAGGAAGATCAAGGGAGGTCCAACATCCTAAACCCTCATAGATTTGTCGAAAAGCATTGGAAGCAATGGTGCTGAGTTGTGAGATTCTAAAGGCACGCACTTTGTAACAAGATGTTTAAACAGCAACAAAACAATGCTTTGACAGACCACCCCGAGTTCCTAAACTCTGTGCCAGTAAAGGGCTCCAATTAGCGCTCGCATATGAGGCACCCATCAGTAACCATCAGTAAGGGATCAAAGGCAAACGCACGGTCTAAGGCACCAGAGGTCGATGAGATATGTGCATATCGTAAACTCCCGCGAAAAGACAAGTCACGCAAAAACATATGCGCCCAGGAAAGAGGCCTTGGCTTTTTCAATGAAGCAGGGTGCCTTAGATTGGCCGCGCGCAGAGGTTGAAGTGCCGCGGGACCACGGGATCCATTAGTTGTTTTGTTTCTTTCAAGGGTTGCTTTGAGACAAGAAGACTTCTGAGGCAAGAATTTGCCCTAAGAACCTGCCAGGTGTATTGCACACCGAAAGAAGCGTGGGCAAGTCACAACGAGCTCACCTCGGATAGCTGCTAACCCTTGCCTGCGGTCCCTTTCTTGGGGATTGGCATCGCTGCCCGGCTCTTACGCATGCCTAAAAGTTCTTTGTCTTTTTTATGGACAACGCAAGCACTTCAGGCACCAGCGAAATGGAGACCACAGCGTGTCATTTCAGAACTAAACAATTTGACTCAGTCTAGCTGGTCAGACTCGGCAACTGCAGGCTGCGGTCTGGTAGCCTCCCAAGAGCAGCTCCATTCTTGTTTGCGTTGGTGTTTTTTTCCCCCCCGACTTTAGCTTTACGGGAGTGAATGTGTTTTTGTCGCTCAGCAGCAAATTGAACTTTTTGCACGGGATGCCATTCGGGAATGAAGCGATGACTCCAGCCACTGGAGCTTCGGTTTGGACGGGGATCGAAACCTTGCGCATGGTGAGCCATTCCACTCGGAAGGACGAGTTTGCTGCTAAGGGTCCTTTCTTGGATTTTGGGATTTGCTCTTTGTCGGACCACCCAAAGCCAGGGGTGCATGACAAAACCCAAAAGGCCTCTACAAGCCCTCAGCACCCGGGCTATGAGAATTCGCGCAGGTACCGCGGGAGCTTCAGTTCAAAGGGCCAGCTCCGTGAGTAGTCATCGCTTTTGCCTCCGAACTCTTAGCATAGCCTTTCCACATACGCCATGATATTGTGGACGAAATCTCAAGCCCTACAAATAATCTTGGGGATAAACAACTTATCAACTGCTGCAGGATTTTGTCCATCCACAGTAGTTTGCCTACTAGCTCGCCCGACCAAACAAAACACTGCGCTCTTGGCACCGGGCCTGCTAAGCCAGATAAATTGGCATGCCGACGCGACCGGATTTTCCAAGGCTTCTCCCAAAACGATGAACCCAAGGAGGGATTGATGCCCTTTGCCGATCAGGGGTCCCCGTTCTCTACTTGGAACGGCGTCGATTTTGCTTGCTGAATTAATTGCCCGGGGTTTGAGATCTTGCTTGTTTGTGGCTTTCTGAAATAGGGACTTCCCAGGTTCATTCCCAAAAAAGCCATGCAGTAGGATTTTGCTGAGAAGCAACGAGAGATGCGAGCCAAGGCGGGGCAGTTTGTGAACCTCCGCAAGTGGCGCCGCCATGTTGACCGGGGCGTGGAGGTTGGGGCTTAGATTCTTGGACTAACGGGTTCTATCACACGGATTCCGATCGCTCGTGGCAAAGGACAATCATATGCGTAGATCAGCATCCCAAGACCCATTCGCTGGAACTAGAACCCATGATTGCTTATCCTACCCCCCCCCTGCCCCATAGTCTATAGTCTGAAGGTCCATACGCAACCCCCCATTCATCCACCCCCACACACCCAAACACCCACACCCACACCCGCTAAACAAACCTGGCGTAGCCTCAACACACACACACACACACACACACACACACACGCCCCCACACACGCATGCACTCGTACTAGATCCAAAAAAGCCCAGCGCTCAAGAAGGTCCTCCGGGCGCAACATTCCCGGAGAAGGGTGCCCTCAAAAGAACACCTTACCCAGCCAGTGGGCGCACTTTACACTTTTTTCCTTGGTGATTTTCCCTGCCTATTTTTAGTGGTGGCCTAACAACTGAGCATATTTTTGTTGGCTGGTCACTGGCCACGTGAGACATTACGGGCCCTTTGCAGGATGAAGCACTTCATCGCTGAGCTCCTGAAGTGGCCCCTCGGCTCGAAGGGCCTGTCTTGTGCTCTTGCTTGCCTGTTTGTTTGCTTGCCTGTTTGATTGTTTTTGTTTGTTTGTTTCTTTGTTTTTGTTTGTTTGTTTCTTTGTTTTTGCTTGTTTGTTTCTTTGTTTTTGCTTGTTTGTTTCTTTGTGTTTTTTGTTTGTTTGCTTGCCTGTTTGATTGTTTTTGTTTGTTTGTTTCTTTGTTTTTGTTTGTTTGTTTCTTTGTTTTTGCTTGTTTGTTTCTTTGTTTTTGCTTGTTTGTTTCTTTGTGTTGTTTGTTTGTTTGCTTGCCTGTTTGATTGTTTTTGTTTGTTTGTTTCTTTGTTTTTGTTTGTTTGTTTCTTTGTTTTTGCTTGTTTGTTTCTTTGTTTTTGCTTGTTTGTTTCTTTGTGTTTTTTGTTTGTTTGCT